TTGTGGACAGGAGTGCCTGCGAAAATCTTACAGCGCATGTTTAATTGGATCAACGTTACAGGAAGTATTTCTGGTGAAATAAGGGGTGGATTGTGGTAGAGCACACTCTATTAGCTCGCAGCTTACAAACATTCAACCTATTACAGACCTGGTGGCAAAAGATCCAATGGTCAATTAATCTCAACCGTTATAACACCCGAAGATATAAAAGACGTGGAGTGGGTTCTTCTGATTGTCTCGCTCTCCTTTCAGTCCTTTTTTTTCGTTGAACATCCCGAAGATAAACCCCGTGGCTGCTACGCGATTACCGTATGCGGACGAGCAAATGCACCGCATAGCTGCGAGTTAAAGCATCAAATGCCTCATACCTTGCGAAACAAACAGTTTTTCATTGCATGTACTCCTTTTCGAGAAATTATTCAATATAGAATGGTTGAATTTCGCATAGAAGGCAACCGAGAAGATGTCAAGCCACAGGGTAATTCCCCCTAGAATGAATGGCGTACGTACTTAAGGACGCAATCGCTACAGACCTCGCCCCCGACAGGTGCGAGTGCTGGAACACTGCTCATAACTTTATATTATGCCGTTCCCAGCGTCACACATTGTGGAGCCGCGGAAAAGGGGCATTCTTCGAGACAGCGGACCGGGCTCTGAAGAAGGAACTCTAAAATAGTCAAGCACGGGATTTAAATACGGTCACGTTCATCGTTCACGTATTGAGAGAATTTTATTGTAGAGATGACACTGGGAGCAAAACAATACAGATTGCCATTACTCGGGAAATGAAACGGAAACTCGACTTTTCTTGTGATGATCTCCAGAGGAAACCATCAAAGACGAAGGTAGTGAAGCATGTCGTCCTATCACCGATGGTAATCCTTTAAGCAATGCAGCTCATACATGATCTTTTCAGCAGAGGGTCGTGGTAATTGAGAAGAAGTCGAGCCTAGAATCCAGAGGGACTACAGAGACCATCCAAGGGACCCTACCGTCATCTGATCAGTCAGTACCGGTATGCCAGTTGCTTTACAGTGCTGCGGATGCATCATAGCACCTATGTATCGCTGTTCTAGAGAATATAGTACGCATTCAAAATCGCTTAATTTTGGACGTCACTTTCTTTGCTTAAAGACACTCCCCGCGATCAAGTGGTCCTCAAAATGACTTCGTGCTTTTGGAACCCTCTACGCCTTGACGAAGATGATACCACTTTCATCCCTCAATATGGCGCGATAAGGAAGTTATAGCGATTTCCACAAGGCTCGCTAGGCTCGCTGACACGGTAGGTGGACGAGGCGTCCGGTCCCGAGCTGCTTCCGTCCCTTTAAAGTATCCTATTTCGAAAGTCGGGACGCAATTGCGGCTGCCGCATCGATTTCTGGCAGCCACGTCCGGCACACTCGTCCAGGCCCCGCCCCCACTGCTAAAGGGAGGTCTGTGTTCAGGGTGTTCGCGAGGTTTTTTTTTCGATTTTTTTTTCCACTGG